GTAGTTTGGAAAACATTTCACACTACGAATCCAAGTTGAGTTTGTTCAGTATGCCTCTTATCACTATCTTCTGCTTGAGAACAAATCTGGTCAGATTTCCGGAAAGCGGTATATACACGAAGTGTAATAAAAAATCGAGTATCAAGCGACCCTATAATACGAGATTACATCTCCACTCTACGATCAGTCGAATACAACCTGAAAGGCTGAGAGCTGTTTCAGACTAACTGGCCGCTAGTAGTCTGGTCCCCTGAGCTTCGCTGGTAAGCTCCGTTCGGCTTCTAGAATGGGACACTGGATGATGGTTTCACTTGTAGCCAGTGACACCTAATGAGTCACAGAACCGTCAACACACTTCTGTGGTGTTTAATAGGGACAAAACTTGACAAGCGGCAACCGATCACAGTCACCGCCTGCTACGAGCCTGAACTGACCGCCCTCCTGGGAAGCCGCTGACCTGGTAATTTCCTCATCCGCGGCGGGTGGGAAGCAGACGCGCCTACAAAGCTTTTCAGTCTACATCTCTACCTAGCTAACACTCAAATTCTTACTCGCGCGGAATGTTCACATGAGGGTGGTTAGAAGATAACGACCAAACGCGACTTATTACCAGTTACACTGAAACCTTGGGTTCATCACGAGATAATTCGGGTGCAGTTGGCTGACACCCACGTTGGGACCAGATCAACTGAAGAGTCGGTTGAACTCACCAAACTGGTAAAAGCGTCTCACTTAGTAGGTAGCTCATGCGAAATTCTCAGATAGCATGCCAACCGTGAACGGATACTGCCATTTGAAAGAAAATAAAAGTCGATGTTCAAATGAAGTCGCGTTTATTTCTTACAGGACTCTTATACAAAACCTTCAGCAACGCGCAATAATATACAGGCGCTGTCAGCGTTGATAAAATTCCGTTGGGATCATCGTCGAAAATAGCTGCCATGCGGATTCCGATCGTCATGATAGCCATTTGAAAAGTGATTGTAGTCTGAAAAATAAGGGTCGTTTGAATGAGCAGAAAACGCAACTCAATGGTACTACCGGAAACTAGATTTACTAGCTGCGTCAAATATTGGGCACAAACTAATGAGCGTGAACAGGGATTCAAATTAGTGACTGTCTGATAGAATAATAATGACCTAAAACTACTCCAACATTCACACATTAACTAACACCCTAAAACTAATCTCAAATATAACTGACTAAACCAAAATTGAGTGGCGGTTTTAGACAGGGCGTATTAGCGTCAACCTACGCTGTACACACATGAGCACAACTCACCGAGGCGGTAGTGATAGCGCTCGCATGTGTGTGTATGCGCAAATTGGGACGCATTTACGCCGAAGGACTACCACCGTCGCCACCACGGTGCCGTCCGCGAATGAAAGGCAAACCGAGACCGGGAATGCCAATGTTCACTGTTGGACCAGTAAATACCCCGGGGTTAGCAGGAAACGAATATCCACGAATGAAAATCACCCAAGTTGTCCTGTGGGATGGACACAAGGGAATTCGATGGTCAAGAGCTAATAACAAATTCAATACTATCTTTTATGAATCGTTCATGGTATCATGGGCGTATTCAAAGATTGACCATCGACGCTCAGTGCCATTGCCTCGTTTTTATAGGACGCATATCTATGGACAACCCTAGAAAACCCACTGAGATCAAAAGCATGCAAAAACCGGTTTTCCATGAGCGGTACCTATCAAAATGTTGGAGTGAAAAACATCGCAGCAAAAGGAAAGTGGGTGCACAATAAAATGGGTAGTGGTGAAGTACGAGGCGGAAGATCGCATTTGACGTTAAAATAAAGGGACAAATAGAACAAGCCGCGCGCATACGTTGGTAAACATGAGTAAATAATAACACTCGCGTACGCCAACAGCAAATCTAAGTTGGATTTTTCCCTATGTATCTACAACGGTTAGAGGAAACATTGAGCACCCATTAGGAATGAAACGATTCACCATTGCACCAAGGTGGATTAGGTTGCCGGGGGAATCGAACCAGCTATCGGTTAATTCAACTGCGTAAATCTCAACTGAACGCAACGAAGTAAAATTGCCTTTACATAATGGTGAAATCGTAGCATAAAACAATGGATGTGGCTTTTATTCCTAGATCGACCTAGAGAGCTAGCTGATAAAAATCAACAGCGAAATTTGTTTATACGATTTTGAAGCATTTGCAGATTTGAGAAAGCTGACAATACACTGCCTTGCTGAAGACACGGTTAGTTTGCAATTTTGGGTGGCAATCGAAATCCGCTGCAAGCTTCACTAAGTAAAGACAATGAGATCCAACTATCTCGAGATAACCGAAGCCCAAGAAATCAACGGAAACTTTAGTACTGGGAAACGAAAAGGGTCAACTGACAATAACGTGAAATGCCTCTTCAAGACAAAGATCTACTAGAGCGTTTGGATCAAATTATTGTCAAATCTTAAAGTTGGATGATGTTCAACAGAACTTTTGGTTTCTTTTTCAGCGTTTGATACACACATGATTACGCTTGTTATCCATGTATGTAGATAAATCGAACCAACAGGCAGGGTTGATTAATCGCCTGTTCGTTCAACTACCTTATCGATAGCCCAACACAAGGTGATGAAGGCCATCACCGAAGGGATAATAGAAGAACTGTGATTGAAACAGCATCGGATGGACTGCTCTAAATGGAAATAACGGGCAATATTTGACAATATGGAAGTTCGGCTTAGCGCAACGGTGAAAGGATAAGTAGTTCGATGACTAGCAGCAACGATAGAAAGTCAACAAACACCGCCTCGATAGGTGATTAGTCATCAAAAAGAGAAATTTAAACGATCGATCTAAACTACAAGTCTCTCCTACTAAAAACCTTGCGAGTGATTTCAGGACACTACCAACTGATGCTAAATCGTACAAGACCGTTCACTGGAATAGAAGTAAATGCGATTCCCGCCCTGGATAGCTAACAATACCAAAGAACGCAAGTCTCGTTGATGGAATTCGCTTACATAGTGAATAAGATGCATGAAGGTCCAAAGACAACATCAGAAAATGCTAGAAGTATTAACTGACGGGAGTCAGCAGTCGATAAGCAATGAACGAGCACTCCAATGTCGAAAAATGCACTGACTATATGGGGTCAGTGGTTAAAAAAGTTCAAAAACTGCCATAAGCAGGCTGATTCCAACTGGACGCCCAGTTTGCGTTTTGCTCAGGAACGGCGGTAGCAGGGAATGGTTGCGGAAAATTTGCCCATGGTTGAGGAAATGAGTTTGCTGCAATACCTTCCCCCTTCAGATTACTCGATGAACCACGGGAACGTATAGAGGATTGATCATCGGGAGCAAAAGTCTGGGGTTGTTCGAGTCGCCGACCAACGGCCGGCGGCTTGGAACCGCGTTGCGCGAAGGACGGATCAGTTGTGGGGATCTGGCCAGGCTGAGCATTAGCCCAGAACGGCTGGCTGCCATTTGCAGGCCGACTTTCATTCCATTGGCTCGGCCATTTGGTTCCACCGTTAGAACTGGCGGCGCTTTGGTGGGGGCCGTTTGCCTGGGGAGCGACAGGCGCAGACCCCTTATCGGAAGGCATGCGGCGATCCCACCTCGACGGTGCATTGGACGGTAGATTCATCGAAACCGAGGGGTTAAATATGCTCATATTGCTTTTGCCAAAAGCGGCTTCGGCGTTATGAGCATCTTTAGAACCTTGCGGTTGTGTGTTACCAAAGGTTGGTGGGATGCCTGGGAGCCTATTAGCGGCCGAATCTCGCGCAACAAAATGAGGCTCACCTACGACTCCAGGCTTCAGTCCAGGCTGTACAGCATTAGCCGCCATAGAACCAATATTGTTCGCCGCAGAGTTGGACTTATGTAACGACGGCCCGTTTTGGAATCCTGGTACACCCCCACCAAAGTTAGCACCAGGATAAGTGGGAACAGCATTGTGAAAACTTGAGCCCCCCGGGCGGCCTCCGAAACGGCCGGGAGCGGCAGCCGGATGATCTAAGAAAAACAAGGTTTCAGGGTCGTTTCTCAAATATCCAGAGACGAACCTCGACATACACAGAAAAGCATTCAGGTGAAAATACTTTTAAAACCTTTGACGTCTCATTGAGTAACAGCTAAACTGACCGGGGAACGTTCCGAATACGTTTAACCGCAATATCACCCAGTCTTGGTTTTGATTCAGTACCGGTGCTTAAATGATGAATAACTATCGACTAATAGACTATTACTGTGAGTACACGTAAACGTTAAGGTTATTCAGAGTTCAAGGACACTCGTGCATACGGTTAAGAGATTAATGGAATAACTGGTTGGATAACCTCTTTTACCATCCGTTTGATGGGCATAACACTCAGAATTAGTTACTGGCAGTGAGTCAACTTTTGACTGATAACAGTATTCAGTTCGGTGTAGGTAACCGGTGGTGGCTCCACAGTTGCTAATCGATCTACAGTTCTAGCGACGATTGCACATGGTCAATTAGAACCTGGAGTTTTCACCAGGAGAAACCAAGACTAACCTATAACTTCAGTTGGCACAAACTGCTTGTCCATAAGGGATTCAAGCTTGATTCTATTTAGTTTGACATGCACGTTCACGAACGAAATCAAGGTGAACTCGGATTTAATCTTTGCAATCTGTGCAAGTGGTAAACCTGCCCTGCTGAGCGGCAGTTTTCGTTGCTGGGATCGGCAGTTTGTACGAGGTTTCAGAAACCTCGAGGCTTCTCACAATCTGAATAACAATACAGTGACTAAATTAAACTTCTAATACCAAGCTATCAACGTAAGCAGGTTTAAAAGCCTAAAGTTATGCAGACGACATATATAACGAGCTGAAAAATCACAGAAAATTGCAACAGAAATAAAGATAAACACAGAACATCACTAAGATCACAAAAACCTGTCGGGCCATGACTATAAAGCTACATACAAACATTTAACAGCTTTGAGGCATTTCAAAGGAGTTGAGTTTCTGATGGAAGCACTAAACCTAACGCTGAGTAGCATTTCTTTAACCAAGTCGTTGTCATAACCCCCAGGAAAACCGACAACCTGCACGGCAAGTTGTGGCAACACTGAGGATAGACTGCTTGTCACAGTCGTATAAAACAAAAAGCACTAACTCCGACCCGACGAACCATGATGCATGGGAGTTAAATTTCCTCGGTATTCCAGTTAGTAAAAACCGAACATTTAAGAAGTCAGGTCGGAACCGCAATGTGAATCGGGTAAGGCCTCTGGCACTCGTGCTTGTTCACTCGAT